GTTGTGCTGCTGGGAAAGCTCTGGAGCAGGTGTGTGGGACTCGGAACCACCATGTGGGACCCAGCTGGGACTTTCCCAGAGGCCTGCTCCCCCGTGTGGGCAGGGGGTTGCACAAAGCTGATCACACTCTCAGTGAAAAGCCCATAAATATTGTTATTTATTCCCATAAATAATACCTCTTATACATTCTAACCCCCTCAGCGCCCCTGTGGGGACAGCCCCAGAACCGCCCATCAGACTCCCCTCCTGGGACGTGGGCGCTGCCGACGCCAGACCGCCCAGGGCCCGCGTCCCTCGGGTGGATCCTGGAGAGAAGTCCTGGACCTCAAGGCAGTGAAGGCAACTTCGGCTTGAAAAATAAATGAAGCAAAATTGTTCCGGCGTAAGATTAGTGTGGATGTCACCTTGGTGACCGCTGCAGGCTGTGGTTCGTTGTTGGGAGAAACGAACTGACGTTTCACGAGGATTTCGGTGTCGTATCTGAAGGGGAGCAGATTGAGAGACGAGATCTCAAAATATGAATGGCAGTCCACTTTATCGAAGTCAATTCACTGGAGGATCTGAGAGTGTCTTTACACCAGGAAGCGCGCCCGGGAGAACGGAGCCCTCACGACGGGTTTGATTGCTTCCTCTTTAGCAATTCTTATCGTCCAAACAGTAGAGTCTTTGAAAGAGGAAACGTTTCTTCATCGCCCAGGCCATAGGGACCAACCAGTTCTCCGCATAAGACTGTTTCGAGGAATCGGGAAAGAGATGATAAAACATTTGCAAAAGTAAAGATTAAAAGGGGCTGCAACTAAAGGTAAACAATGATAGTCATAGAAGCACACTTGGCAGAATGACTCATCATTTCACTTATTTCCATAGAGTGGAGGGAAAATTTTGTAATTTGAAATCTCTTGTTTGAAAGCCGGATCAATAAAAGTGTATTATGCAAATCTGACTTTATCTTCAGTGTGTCTTAAATATTTAGCATAAATGTGTATTTGGAAAACTTCAGAAAAATTAATATACCAAATTAACCACCTTTCACAGGAGATCTGAAACGTATCCATAATATTTTGAGAACTGAGATGTCTGTCCGTTTTGAGTCTCAGTAGATATTTATTGTGGTACATGAGCAATAATATAACAGTAGTTGTCAGTCATTAGTAGGACACTTTTGACTAGAGGTAACTGAAAACCATCCCTGACTAGAGTTAGCATAAAGAAGGACTTGGTCAAAGATTTTAAGACGCACTTCATGAAATACCCAGGAGGCATCAGGACCACGAACTCAAAGGCTCAGGTGTCTTCATGTTCGTCTGTGTGTGCATGTGTTTGTGTGCCTACTGGTTTCATTATTCTTTCTGCCTGCACACAAACTTTATTCACATGACCCCTGACTAAATAAAGGCTAACTCTCTTTTTAGTTCTTGTTACATAGTCCTTCCAGCGGTTCTCAACCTGTGGGTGGCAACCCCTGAAAATACATCCTGCATATCAGATATTTACATTACGATTCATAACAGTAGCAAGATTATAGCTATGAAGTAGCAACGAAAATAATTTTATGGTTGGAGGTCACCACAACATGAGGAACTGTATTAAAGGGTCGCGGCATTAGGAAGGTTGAGAACCACTGCTAGGCAAAGACTCTGGGACTGGGTCGGCTGTGTTAAATGCTCCTACCTGGAATGATTGAATGGCTGGAGCATGTCACGATGTACTAACCTACCAGCTATGGAGGCGATGGCAGAAGCACTCCCCAGAAAAGGGAGTGCTAAGCAGATAAATCCATCAATACCATTTCAAATGTCAGACCACACTGTCGTCACTGACGGAGCCTTAGTCACTCTGCTGATTGATTTGTTCTTTCACATGTGATATGATCCCCATCCTTGAGGGCAATATTTAAACCTTCAATTTTGCCTGTGGAACCACTATTGGAATCATAATAGCTAAGATGCTAGATGGTTGTCTTAGGACATCCCCAAATTTCATAAGTGGGCCCTATTCATGAAAGAGAAAAATCTGACATAGTTTAGACTTGAACAGTTAGCAAATAACAGTGAATGTCCATTATACAACACTTTTCCATGTGTCGGATTTTTGTGATCCCATGAGTTAAGACATACGATCTGTGCACTTACGAATAATAATAGTACATGACATCTGTGCGCGGGAGAATGGCTGTGTGCTGTGTGAGCAGATGAAGACAGGTACAGCTCGTTGCTGCATCACCTGTGCATTGGAGGCTAGTGCCTATAGTCTGTGCATACAAGGATAGGTACATGTCATCTGTGCACCTAAGAGGGGTGTGGCATCTGTGCACATCAGGAGAGGTCATCTGTATCTTTTGTGGGCCCAGGAGGGTCTTATTTTTACATCTTCACTGAATAAGCACTGATTACCTGTTAGAGAATTATTGTAACTCAAATTATTCCAGTGCCTATGAAGGACAAAACTGACAATAAAAGAGGGTGGGTTTGGAGGGTTTATTGTTGTTTGTTTGTTTGTGATATATACCAAGTGTACTGGTTAATAATGCAGGTTTTGTAATAAAAGAAAACAGGATATTTAAAGAGAAACATCAAAAGTGCTTTATTCAAAGTAATGTCCATGTATCTCCCCCATCTTTCAGGTAGTTTGTGGATACTGTCCCAATAGAACTTTCCTTGTTTTG